GGGTATCTCAGCTCTGAAGCTCCCCTCAGGCTGGCTGCAGTGAGGCAGTGTGCTTCTCACTGACTTTCTGGGCCTCTGACCTGGCCTGGTGTCTGCCACTGCCTTTGTCCTGCCTCTGCCCACAGCTGACCTCCCCATGGTCACTGCTGGCCACCAATGTGGTCTTGGGGGGCTCATGAGCAGTGAATTCCTGAGGAACCTCCAGGCCCTGGACCTGGGAAGGAAGGATGCTGGAAGCCCAGAGTAAGAAGGCCTGGTACAAACTGGGGACTGGTCAGCTTGTTCAGGTACTACCTGAAGACTGGGGAGCCACTTAGCAGGACCACTGAATCCTGCCACTGAGGATAAATCTTCACTTTCCATGCCCAGTTCCCAGAATGGGACCAGCCCAGCTGCTTGCATTTTTATTAGACCCCAGGTCAGCCAGCAAGGATTCACTTGGAGGGTCCCTCTTCGAGTTCTGCCTTTGATATCCACTCCAGTTAATTTGCTGAAAAGGACAGTACCCTCGTCTTCAAAGATCTTTCTATTTCTGGAAGGTTAAGTGGACTACCATGTACTAAATAATGAGAGTAATGTGAGCTAGTATTTACTGAGCTTTTACTATTTGCAAAGCACTTCACATGAATTATCTCATGCTTTCCTCCCAACATCCGTCATGAGAAACTGTGGTTGTTGTCAACATCCTGCAGGAATCAAAGTTCTCTGTCACCGAGAGTTCCTACTGTCACCTGTGTGTCTGCTCTGTCAAGATCTGTTTCTAAGCCACCATTCAGATGCCTCTGCTTTCATCTTTCCATGTTCATCGCTGTCAGGATGCTCCTTGCTTGGATTCTCTAAGAAGCAGCACTAGACTGTTCCTCCCGGCTTCTCACCCTACTGTACTGGGGATCGAGCCCAGGACCTTCAAACTTTTTAATGGACTTTAGAATTCTGCCCTCTCTTCAGAAGATGAAAGCTGAGTCTTTACCCCTCCATCAGCTTCCTGCACCTACTTTCTATTAAACTCTACAAACCTTTATAGGAGATGATCCTGCAGGTCCTGACCTGGGCAAGCTCTGAACTTTACACCTCGTGATTCAAGGGGACTTTAACTTAGATGGCTGCTTCCTCCCAAAGAAGAAACTAAAGTTTTGCTATTCATCCCCAGCCATTCTTCCTCCTTCCAGGCCACCTCCCCTCCCTGGCTGCAAAGACTCTGCTTGGAGCTTGTATTCCAAACTGCCTCAGTCTAGAGGGCCAGGACTGAGCTGGTCCAGTCGCTTCCTCTGGCCTGTCTTCAACAGTCTGAGAAATTTCTCTCTGAATGTCAGAGACATAAAATATCTCTACATACATGGGCGTTGTCATGTGAAGATAATCCTCTGAGACAGCTGGAGAGGCTACATGTTCTAGATAAGGACCAGAGGGCTTTGTGGAGGGACCTAGGGTTGGAAGGAAGAAGCCAAATACCTACCCTCAAGAGGCATATGGAGCCCCAGGTGCCCCAGACCCAGAGTTAATAGACTCCTTCCTGCCAATGAGGATTTTAGTTTGCAAACTAAGGTATAAAGATCTAACTGAGGAAAGAACATGACTGTTCGCAGCTGCTTTACACAATTTTGAGTGGGATACCTATATTTTTATAACTTATTTTATTCTTTCAACCAAACACTTAGATACCATGAGTATATTATGTATGTAGCCCTGTGCTTGATGCTGAGATTGTTTTCAAAGAAAGGGAGGTAGTTCTTCCATTAGAGACTACTTGGGACACTGATTGGGGCCCCCAAACACTTTTGGAGTTAATACACCCATGTAGCTCTGGAGAAACACTTGGTTGGCTACCGTGAGCCACAAAGGGTAGCTCTAATATATAAAATTGAATTTTTGCAACACACAAGAATCAGTTTCCTTTATCAGTCACGGGTAAGATAATGTAGCCAACCAGTCATGTCCTACAATGGACTTTTCCTGAGGCTGTAGGTCTTGACAATCGAGAACACTATTATTTCAAAGTTATAAAGTCACCACGTACATCGCCATGTACAGTATTACTAAAATGTTCCAAGAGTTTCGGTACTAAATGAACTGAGCCAGAAAAATAGAGTAGAAAAAGACACTAAGAGGTAGCTTGCCTGAAGTTGAGGCACTATCTAGAAGGTGTGTAGAGGTAGCCATACTCCCTGTGTATGGGGTCTTAGGCAAGGAAGGTGGTGAGAGATCAGAACAGGTGATTCACAAGGTCTGCGCTCCCACTGGTCCCACCAGTGTAAGACAGCCACAGCCATTGTCACAACAGTGACAGTTACTTGTCAGTGATGTAAGGTTGACAAAAATGTCTAAAAATATCTAATGAAGTGGCACACACCTGTAATCTCAGCACTCCAGAAGATGAGGCAGAAAGATTTCTTATAGTTCAAGGCCAGTTTGGGCTACATAGTGAGTTCAAGGTCAGCCTGAACTACATAGGAGACCCTAGAGAGAGAGGGGTGTGTGTGTGTGTGTGTGTGAGAGAGAGAGAGAGAGAGAGAGAGAGAGAGAGAGACAGAGAGAGAGAGAGACTTTGTCCTTTTGTCAAAACAAAGGACACTCTACACATTCTTCAAGATGAGGCCAAAATTCCATATCCTTTGCAAAGTCCTTTCAGGTCAGTCCAGCTTTTCATACCTCAGCAACCCCAGGTTCAACAAAAGATGAATTCTCCTATCCTGAGAACATGTTCAGAAGGCATTCTGCCCTTCCATTCAATGACATCTGCCAGTCTAGAGGACCCCATCTGTGCCTGGATGTGCGCAGTGGCCTAATTGACCTTCCAGCCTTGAGCTCTTCTCCCACTGTGTCTCTTGTGATTCGCCGCTGGACACCTTCCTTCTACCTCCTCTTTGTGGCAGTAACCCTCGCCACTGCCCTCGACAGGCTCTTACGGTGGGCCCATGATGCATCAGCTAGGCAAGGGGCACAATAGCAAGGCAGACACAGCCTTCATGGGTGCCGCATCTAGTGTGGAGAAGGGCTTCAAAAAATACTGCAGTGGTGCTGGTCACCCTCAAGCAGCTGCAACCAGCAACCTCTCTCTAAATAATCAAGAACCATTCCACAAACCCAGAGAGGTAGA